TGTTTGGGCTGCGGGGCGGGTTTTTGAGGGCAGCCTGCGCCTCCGCGTGCCTGCCGTATTTCACAAAGGCACAACCTAAGGGCAGAGAGGGTACAAGGGAGGGGTTGGATTCAGCCGCTGTGGGAGGCAGTGCCACCCAGCCAGCTGCTCCCACCCTCCATGGGTCCCAGCAGCCCACGGGGTGCTCACCCCGCTCCCCAAAGGCCCACCTTTGCTGGTTCCATCAGGCCCTCGGAGGATGGTGCACTCCTCAATCTGGCCGAAGGGTTCGAAGAGGCGCCGGACATCGTCCTCACTCTGCTGCTTCCCCAGCATGCCCACAAAGAGCTTCCTGTCTTCTAAAAACAAAATCAAGCCTGTTGGAGAGTGGAATGCCACTCACCATCCCATCCCCTCATCCGTGGTTTGCAAATAGCACGTGGAGAGGCAAGAGCCGGGTGAAGGTGATGCTGGAGCCTGGGGAGGGAGCGATGCCAATCCAGCCGCAAAGACACAGCGTTTATCACCTCCATCCTACAAAACGCTCAGGTTGGGAAAACCTCTCCTGCAGGGAAATTGCCTAGGGGTGAAGCCGGGACCAGAGCTGGGGCTTTTCCCAGGGATGGAGGAGCCAGCTCCCACGGCACTGATGCGGGATGCAGCTGGGAAACAAAGAGAGCCCGCAAAACAGCGGCAATTGCCTTCATACGACTGACTCACAGAATAACCCACAGCCTCTGGCTGTGCCCAGGGGACATAAATAACCCAAACACGAGAGAAGGGAGAGTAAATAATGAGAATTTCATGATTATTACCAGCATCTGTCTTGCGCGGCCGCATGCTCCCGCCGCGCGCTAATGGCATTTGACAAAGAAAATAAGGTGCCCTGTCAAGAGCATTGCCGGGGAAATAAATAAATAATGGCAGGAGACGATTAATGCTCTGTCCGTTAAGGTACTGCGAAAATTAGTTAAGGGAATAGGGCTCGTGTGTTGTCTAGTTAAACATAAACCATCTCCTGGCCAAGGTGGCTGGGGGGAGCAGGCTCAGCGGCCCAGCATCGCCTCCTGGGCAAGGGGGCCAGAGCCGGGCGCCTGAGCTCGCCCATCGATTTTTAATCCTTCACCAGTTATGCTCGGTAAGTGGGTAATTTATTTGCTGGGTCCCTCCGGGATGTGCCACGACCAGCTTGCGGCGTGTTTAATAACATGTTTTGAATAGGGGGATATATACCCCTGCCATCCCGCTGAGGGCAGGCGGCCCCATGTGAGCATCCTGCCCGCATGTCCGAGCATGCCTATGCACCCCGAGCTTGCTCGTGGCACCAGGAACGTCAGGGAGTTTTGATCCAATTCCTGCAATTTTGCCCAAATTATTGACTCAGCCTGGAAACACCATGGCCCCACGAGCTGCAAACCCCCACGGAGGATTTGGGAGGGGGCAGTGGTTTCTGTTTGAGAGGGGCTCGGTGTGTGGCAAACTCCTGCACCCCGACTCTGCCTGGGTCCCCACAGACAGCTCCGGGTGGGTAATTACGTTGTTTGATAGATGAAGAGGCTGTCAGGGAGCAGCTGGCTAGCACTCTGCCCAGCATGATGTCAGGATGTTCATGGTATGACATCAGGATATTCATGGCATGACGTCAGGACATTCATGGCATGACATCAGGATGTTCCCCTCAAGCTGGACGGGCAAGGAGAGCCGAGATCGCATTTGCTCTGCACTCAGGTTTGGACACCACCGGCAAAAGCAGCTCCTTTTGTGGGTTTCTCTGCAAACAAACCTCTCCGCGGCAGCCCCCCGATGCCACCGTGTCCCCTGTCACCCCCCCAGGTGGCCCTGCACCCTCCTGCCCACATGGGGCAGGCGGGGAAGGGGGGACCTACCTCCTCGGCCCTCGCTGTCGGCCGGCTTCACCTGGATGGGGCGGTTCATCTGCAACACACAAGTGGGAGCGGGCAGTCAGTGGCCATGCCGTGCCCCCCCCCAAACTCTTTTTGTGGGGAACAACAGGATTTGGCCCCAGCCTGGTGCAGGGGACCAGGGCGGGGAGCAGGGGAGGGACCTGTAAGAACAGAGTCAGGGTTTGTGGCCACACCGAACCAGGGGTGCTGCAGGCAGAGGGCGATGCTACAGCCCCGGGGATGGGTACCTGGTGCCGCAGGCGCCCGCCGGGCCGCCAGTGCCAGCCTTGGCCGCCTGCCTGCTTTCCTCGACTGCAAAGGACTGCAGAGGCGGCAGCAGCGCCCAGCCGGCCCCGGCCCCTCCGGCAGCACTGCCACCATTCTCGTTTTCCTGATTCTCACCCAATTTCGGCCTCCTCCCGTGCGTCGCGAACGTGTGTACCCACAAGCATGACACGCGTGTGCAGCAGGACACGTTGGGTCGGCACACACGTCCCTGGCCCGCTGCCCCAGGGAGCCATTTCTCCTCCTCTCTCCCCCTCCTTTTTCCCCTCTTTTAGCCGAAAAATGCTACAATTACGGCTGTTTCCATGGCAACAAGCATGCTTCCCCCGCGATGCTGCAGAGCCCGAGCCATGTGCTCGATGGGGTCGTCACGGCAACGGCGGGATGTCACGCATGACGGGGCGGATGTGCGCGCAAACGTACACAGCTCGAGCACGAACTGGGACAGCCGCACACACGCGTGCTGCTGTCGCACCCACGCGGGTGTGTACCCGCACCCTGGGGTTCCCCCTGCACACCCCTGGAGGGTGTCCCCAAATTTAGGGGCTGGATGGGGGCAGCACCAGCCCCCTGCCCGGGGTAAGGAAGAGGATGGTTAAGGAAGAAGAGGAGGGAGGTTTCCACAGCAACCGCCTCGTCTCCAGGGAAACGCAGGGAGAAATGTCAGCGCAGAGCCAGGGATGCTCCAGGGTGGGGACTGGGTCCCCAGGAGCTGTGGGGTGGCACTGAGGGACACGAGGCCACCTGGTTGCCCTTATGTCCCCCATCATGTCACCGGTCCCCCAAACATCCACCCCAACCCCTGCACTGGGGCAGGATCCAGCTCACTGCAAACCCCGGAGGCTGTGACAACACAGAGACCCTCATCCCCCATATCCCTGCCATGTCCAGGAGGAGGGAACACCATTTTGGGGGGGAGCTGCCCCCCTTCCACCGACCCGCCGGTCCCATTTACCAGCGCGATGGCCTTTGATGGAATAAATTTCCCGTGCCCACTGCTGTATGCTTAATGTAATAAACCCGGCGAGTATGATTTAGAATAACATTTACGGAGCCGCAGAGTGTCATTTTGATGTGTCTCCCGTCTCTGCTCGCTAGTTATTAAACTGTATTGATTCTCCAGGAGCGGCTGATGTTTATAAATGTCACGCCTCGGGGACTGGCTAACCTACCCCAGGGCTGCCACACCACACCGGGGAAAAACTGCCCCAGTCTGTGGACACCCCTGAAAGGGGGTTTTGGCACCCCTGGCACTACCCCGTGCCCACCTCAGGGTGCTCAGTGCCCCCCTGTACCAGCTCCTGTGGCACAGGTGGACAGCATGGGCACCCAGACCTCCCCCTGTGCCCGGCTGTCCAGTGCCCACCTGTCTGTCTGTCCCCACAGCAGCCCTGCACCTTGCCCTGCACCCACACAGTCACCCAGCCACCCACCTCTGCTCAACAGCCCTCCATCCATCCCCTGACACCCAAACAACCACCCAGTCATCTCCCCCTCCTCCTGACACCCACACGATCACCCATCCACCCACCTTCCCCCAAGATTCACCCACCAATTCACCCATCCATCCTCCAACACCCATGCCCATAACACTCATCTATCCCCATAGCACCCTCACATATCCCCAACACCCATCCATCCCCATAACACCCATCCATCCACCCCCCGACCCCCACCCATCCCTGTAGCACCCTTACACCAGCCCATGCATCCTCCATCTCCCTACCACCCACCTTTCCACCCCCATAGCACCCATCCCTCCACCCCCATAGCACCCGATCATCCACCCACCCATCCATCCCCAACTCCCACCCATCTCCCCCCAATCCTCGCACACCCCAAGGACATGCTGATGTACCCAGGATCACAGGAGACCCTGTCTGGGGTGTCCCAGCACCCACTAGTCCCATCACCTGTGGATGCCTCACAGAGTCCCAGCTACAGCACCCCATGGCCAAACTCCCAGTGTGCTACAGCCCAACGGGGTCATCACCGGTTGCTAAACCACCAGGCACTGTCCCCCATCCAAATTCAGAGCGCCCCAACAGCCTGGGCACTGGGGAGAGCCAGCCCACAGTGAATCCCTGCCACAGGACCTGCCCCGTGGGACAGGGTCACCTCTGGCCCTTGCACCTTCCTCGGTGTCACCCTCCTTCTCCTCCTCACGCCCAACAACCGGAGGGTCCGGTGGGCCACCATGCAGCCAAATGAGCCAAGACAGAGGCGCCGGGTGATGCTGGAGCAGCGTGTGCCCATGGGAGCCTGGCGCCCACGTCACCCTGGGGGTCGCCAGGCAGCCAACACCTGGTACACAGGGAGATGGATGCTTGGGTGCCAGCAGCCACCCATCACAGTAACACCCTGCCAGAGCCCTGGGGGTGAACTCACAGCGAGGGGACACAGCCAGCCTGGGGACAGTCACACCACTGCACAGGCACACGACCATCCTAGCACACCCCCACGCACAACCACGCATCCCCTACAGCTGCACTCCTGCTCCCGCACACCCCTATGTACAACCGCAGACCCACACACAGCATCCTCTGTGCACACCCACCCACAGCTGCATGCTCGCCTCAGCACCCCCCTGCACAACCGTACAGCTACACAGACGCACGCTTGCACCCACGCACAACCGTACATCTGTCCTAGCATGACTGCACACCCACATGCAGCTGCACACCTACCCCAGCCCAGCCCCATGTACACCCACACATGACACCCCCTACACCCACCCACCCCAAGCCCACAGTCCTCATGAGCACCCACCCACAGCCACGCATCCACACAACACCCACAGCACCCTCCCTGCAGCTGTGGACCCCTCACAACCACGGGCACACACCCCAGGGTGCACAGCTGGCATCACCATCCATGCCAGGCAGGGACACAACACCCCTTGCCTCAGTTTCCCCATTGCAGCAGTGGGACCCACAGTGGGACCCCTGGCAGCCCTCTGTGGACACACGGACACCCAATGCTGGCCACCACCCCTGGACGGCCACAGCTTTCCCCCAGCAGCACCCACACCCCATCCCTACCACCACCCATGCACACCTGAGCCCTGTGCACAACCAGTCAGCCCCCCCACCAGGCACCCACAACGTGGGAGCCCATGCAACACCTGTAGGCACACGCGCACTCTCTGCTCCCTGCTCACACCCAGTGTGCGCACACACACACGTGCATCCACTTACACACCCACCACTGCCACCTCCCAGGCCCACATACACCCACACCCCACCACCATGCGCACAATCACTGGGTGCAAAGACACCCTTAGCACCTGCTTACACACACACACAGAGACAGACACACACAGCCACTGACGTTTGCACACCCACCATCCCTGGGTGAAACCATTCCCAACCAACACCCACTTGCGCACACCCCAGGGGCAAAACCGTATCCCCACAACGCACGTGCACCCCCACACCATCTGCAAGTGCAACACCCCCCCCCCCGCGAGCACATCCCCTTGTCCACCTGCAACCACACACACAGAGCACCAACACACACACACACACACAAACCCAGGGTGGAAAACTACACGCTCCAGCCAACACACAAACCCATTCCTGGGTGCAGATACACCCTCCTCACCAACACAGGCATGCACACACACTCCATCCCTGCCTGCAAATACAGCCTGCTCACCACCACCACCACCACACACCATTCCTGGGTGCAGATACACGCTCCTCACGAACACCCCCCTGCCAACACCCTCCCCACCCCTGGATGCAGATACACCCTCCTCATCAACACACACACGCTCACAACCCCCATCCCTGCGTGCAAATACACCCTCAGCACCAACAACCACCCTGCCAACACATGCACCCCATCCCTGGGTGCAGATGCACCCTCCTCACCAACACCCACACTCTCAGACAGCATCGCTGGGTGCAGATACACCCTGCTCACCAATACCCCCTCAACCCTGGGAGCAGATACACCCATCTCACCCACCCAGGCATGCACACACCCCATCTCTGCGTGCAAATACACCCTCCTCATCAACACCCCCCTGCCAACACCCCATCCCCATCCTTGGGAGCAGATACACCCCGCTCACCATCACCGCCCTCATCCCTGCGTGCAAATACCCTCCCGGGTGCAGACACCCCCCTTCCTGGGTGCAAGCACCCCCCATTCCGAAGCACCCCCACCCCGCGGGTGCGGATGCCCCAGCGCACGCAGAGGCTCCCGGGGCCGGCCGGGGCGCGCCCGGCCCGGCCCAGGCCCGGCCGCG